GGAATTATGCAATGCAAACAGAATATCGTGAGTGTTCACACAGAAAGTCCAGTTTAATGAAACCACAGCCATCAAAGCACTTTGTGATTATAACAAGCTTGGTCGCACTCCATTCACTGGTCCCTTCACGCGAATCGACTTGCGGCAAATGTCAATAAATCTGAACGGCGTTGCCCTATCCGCGCTAAGTACACTCAATAAACTTAATAACCTTTTTATTGGATGGATAGTGGACGTGTAATATATTAAGCTATTATAATTCGACTTTATTATTATCATTTTAGACAGAATTAATAATCTTCTCACGATGACCGCGTTTATACACACAACGTTGCTCCGAACATTAAGACTGAAGATTGCGGCGGTTCCTCGCCGTCTCACATCGCCCAATTTATCACATGAGCCGCCTACGCTGTACTCGAACGTTTAATAAAGAGCATACCCAACGGAAGTCGCCGTGACACGTACGAAAGTGGAGATTTTGCTGCCTACAGTAAACAGTAAACAAAACTGCTTAATAATAACTAATAATAACAGTAGCTCCTATTAAATTTTGCGGTCACGTTGGACAAAAGGCAAATAAAGTATGATTATTAGGCGCCGCTTAGATTTGCGTTTGAATGTAACGAATGAAACGCCGGTGTACTACCGTATCGGCTATGGCGCCAAATCGTCTGACTTGAGATTTGCGTCACTTTTAAGCAGTCCATATGATAAAGCACGCCTTGTTTTCATGTCACACTCGCCTTGCGCTCAATCTAATTAAAATTTAAAGAAATCCGACGTTATCGCACAAAAATATCAGCTATAAAATATAGGATAAATGGGTATTCTGTGCACTTGGGCCGCAGGTAAATCGCGTTTGTCCAAGCACACTCTACAGCCAATCCATGCAAGATGTACAAAGTACACACTAATGTCAGGACGACATATGTCATGGATTTATGAAAATCATATCATTTGACAAGTTTGATATTCCGTTGTCTGTCGCCCCGGATATTTTGTTTACACGGTTGATTTACATTTACTTTCGGCTAGTTTTATTGACCCCCTTTTCCTATTTTACAAGAATGTAGTTTTATTTGGCCAAAGCTTTGTTATGTCACAAAAATGTCACATTGGTATGTCTGAAAACACATCGGATCTTATTTAAAATATTTAATTCTCGCAAAATATTTGAATAAACAATGTTTTACATTCTCAAGGTAGAGAAAAATTACCTAAATCAGTATCTAGTTATGAATGATATCAGTTCGATCCCCATTTTATTCCTGGTGCATTGAATACACTGCACGCATTGCATTGGTTTTGAGTGAGTATGTACGTAGTTAAATCCTGATTAGTCCCATGTACTTAGTTCCTTTGGCAATGGTGGAATTAAGCAGGTAATATTTAGACGCCTATTAAATTGCACCCTTTTAATTCGTATTTTGAAGTGGACAAATCACGAGGCACGAGACAGCGGGACTTCTGTGTGAGTTCTCTCTATTCATCTTCATGTGAAACATGTTTGCACAGGCACGCCTGAATGTATTCCTTTACCTTAAAAAATGTCGTGGTGTATTTTTATTCAGTCAGATAGTTCAGGAACAAATATATTTTTATCAATCGTATACAGGCAGGACAATTTCTTTCTATAGTCCGGAGCCAAACTTAAAACATACTATATAGCAAATAGGGCCATGTCTGACCATCTACTTCATGACTCGTTTCTTTAGTTCAAGAACCAAATTGTGATTCGATTCCTATGTCTAAACAATACTGACTGAAATTCCTCAGCTTTCAATATTTAATCCCTGAAGTTTTGCGACGAGACGGGATGCCGGACGGATGCCACTACCAAGGCTATATGAACGTCTGATCCACTTTGTCACTATCAAGAGGGTAAATGGCTGAAAAGGCTTTTCAATCGTCACCTCTATTCTATGCGGCTTATCCCATTCTCTGCCAGTTGATATAACAAGCAGACATATCGCATTTGCAAACCACAAAAGAACAATTAACCAACTAAAATGTTCGTGGATTTATTTGCGAAATTGATTAAACCTCTTGAACGGTGTGAGGATGTTTGTTAGGCCTACTCGGGTTACATTACGCCAATGTCGGTTCACTTTGCGCGCAATTAAGGGAGATGTATGTATGTTTTGTTTTATCAGAGTTTTGCGGTTTTCCCACACTAGGTTTTGTGCGAGTAAAATTCCTCTTAATGTTTTTGTGAGACATACAAATTTATCACAGCAGTTAAGGGTATATAAACGTATCTACCCATTTGCTCTAGTATTTAAACGTTTCATAGAATTTCCATCATAATACAAATTCTTTAAACTGGCGAGGCAGATTCAAAACTCCATTTTTGTGAAGTTTTAGCTTTCAAATCAACAAAATATTCAATGCCAACCTGCTCTCAAAGAAAAAGCACTTTTAATCCCAAAACAAACCAGACCAGCAGTAATGATACCTTCCAGGTAATACCAAAAGAAATTTAGCTGTTGATTAGGGTAGGTGACAAGCGAAGCCTAATTTATGGGATCATACCTGGTAAATGATAGGTTTGCGGACGAGAACTTAGATCGTGTTTAAGCCCCCAAAACACAGCCTAATAATATGGAAGCTATACGACAAGGTCTTGGAAAAACATGAAAAATGAATTTTTTTTTTTGGCATGTTCATAATAACATGAGTCGACAGGTGTTGGAATTTTGGACACGTTTTGGAAGCTAATCGGTCATAACAAGGAAAATGAAAACTAAACCACAGGTTCTGCTGAATCTAAATAATTGATTCCATAAAAAATGAATAGATATGATTCAGTAGGAGTAGTAAAATGTGCAATCATGACAGCGTTGAATAAAACTCAACACGACATAATTTTTTTTCTTGTATATTATTTTTGAAATATGATAAAATAAAGATTTTTTTGTACAATGGATCACGTAATATTATGACGCAACATACGTAACATGACCTTCTAACCTCGTCGCCCACGCTATATTTAACCACGCACCTTGAATGAGGAACGTTATTACGTTGGGTGTACATAGAAACTTAAATCCAAAATAGACTATGATGAAATTATTGTTTGAAAATAATCTTTTGGTAACCCTACGTCAAAAGCGAATGGTGTCTTACTCCGTCTACAGCAGTCGACTTTTGTAGTTTACTATATCTTCAAATAACTCTTTTAAAGTTGGGCTGGCCCTACCCTATTTTAATCAACGCAACTGCTTTTACGTAAAAAGCTGATTTAGTAAATCTAAGTATGCTTGAAAATCATTATTGAAGATTTCTCCGCCATTTCGAAGTCGACTAATCTGAGCGGTATTCCATAAACGTTTTGATTTTTTTACGTGGGAAAATCTATCAGGCGGCCTCTCCGTCTGTATCGAGTGCCATCGGAAACGACGACCAGAATGCTTCAGAAATTGATGAACCGTGTCGTATATTTTAATCGGAAATATAAAGAATCATAAAGAATATAATTTTAGCAAAGCGGAAAATGCGGAAGAAAGTATTGTGATGAGAAGAAAGTATAACACTGTAAAATTCATCTTTCCTACTTTTGACTTCACAATATTCTACAATCTATCTTTTGACAAAAATCTTACTTTGTTGGTAAAGATGTTTGTATTTTCTACTCTTGCACGGACCGACTGTAAATTGAACCACTATAATACGACTTGTAATAATGTTGCACTTTATCAGACAAAATCATACTTATAAAACGACTAATATAATATACTAACCGCAATATATTAAAAAACGCCATCTCTAACAATTAAATTGGAAGGCAATTTATTCGATGATGGGCTATACTCGATCAGATCGTGTTTATTGTTAAGGTGTGTTCTGTCATGCTTTCTGCATAAATCAAGTTTTATATTAGCAGTCACTGCAATAATTTACATGGATTTAAAAAATATTTATAGTTTCGAAATTTCCTTCACCATCATGCATAAACTCAGAAAGTAGAACGCAAATCTGCGCTTTTGATTTCAATAAAGTTATATTATGACCGATTCGGGGTGATCCCAGTGCTGTTCAAATGCAATCTAATCTACTGGGAAGCCCTGCATGGTTTATTATTTGGATATTCGAATTTGGTAATAAATCTGCGTTAGAAATTAAGTTGACATTATCTGAACACTTAGTTAAATGTTGACTGACATGCGACATTGTCTTGAGTTTGGAGCTTATCTCGATATAAATGGTTGGAACATTGTACTGATGGTTGACAGGTTCGATTTAGTTAAAAGCAAGATAATAGATTTTTAGAATGACGATTCAATTTAATTAATATTTGGAATTCATTTAGATTAGTATTCTAGAAACTTCGTTATATTTTTCGCTTTCAATCGGCAAGGAATTATCACTCACTATCATGAAACGAAACGAACAATTTTGAATTGACAAACATTCAGAATTTGTATTGGAATTGTTGAATTCTTTCACATAAAGAGTTGAAGACGTCTTCGTAAGTTGTGAACTCATTTGTCCCAAGTTTGAAGCCCCGCCATTTTGCTCGCGCGTCCTAAAACGACAACGATTGAAACCCAAGAAGTTGACTCACTTTCTTTTCTAAAGGCGGCGGGAAGTGAATTTTTCTTTAAATTTTTGTTACCCAAACACTGTGTCACCATATTCTAGAAAAAAGTGCGATCAAACAGCATTATTACAAATAAAAATTGACAGGATAAGGCTGATCGATTATATGAAATGCGCTTTGATGCTCATTTGAGATTTTGTTTAAATTTCAGAAGAATGTATAAGTCATTTCTAGATTTCCGATATTTCCTATCACAGTTCTCGTCCAAAACACTGCTTGGTTGACCAACTCACGTTGTGTCGACGTACATTTACGAAAATTGTAATGTGGAGAAAGATCTAATATATTGCCGAACGAAAAATATATTCAACAAAACAATAAAACTCAATAAACCACCCCCAAAACTAATACTTGTAAGAGATCAGATATTTTTTATTGTATTATTATTAATATTTTCATAAGTATTTCATTTTCCATAAGAAAAAACGTTGAAGACTTTAAATACAGAGAATATAAACAAAACTTAATAAAAAATGAAGAAATTAGGAAACAAAAGTGATAAGGTAAAACAAAACGTGATAATAAAATAGGTTGAATAAATCGCAAACATCTTTGTAATATCTCAAGAAGGGGAAATTTATGTAACAAAACTTTTGTAATAATTATAAGGAATTCTTTGAAGAAATTGGTAACGGTAATCTATAACACTGAATCTCTATGCTGAATTGCTAAAAAAAGCATCACAGCAAAATATTACTCTAAATATCGGGTGATGTTAAGGTATTAGTATTTTGAAGGAGTAGTTTACTCACTTATATCTATTATTTATTTTCACTAAACAAATTTCAAATTTTGAACAATTTGCTTTACAGGTCGAAAATTTTCCATACAAGCATTTGTTGCCTTAAACTTTGAATTAAGAACATAGCACAGAAGTGCTTAATTTCTACATAAAATCAACAGAATTCAAGCTAGAAAATGGATATTAGAAAAAAGGTTGAATGTAAGATTGTAACAAATTGTTAATTGATAATTTATTAAAACAAACGTCGATTTAATCAGAACATATGTCATTTTTGTGATTTTACAAAAATACCTATTATTCGCTTGAACATCTTGCAAAAACTACATTAAAGTTTATCCATCAAGTAAAACCTTGATCAGAAAATGTATTGGAAGTATTTTCTTGGAACTGAAAATTATATCACACAATATGGGAAGAATTTCGTTCACGGCTTTGGGAGAAAACTCAAATTTATACCCAGTACCTGGAGTATGGGGTATTATTTATGGTTTCTTCTGCGAACAAATTCACTAACTCCCTGTTGCATCTGTTTTTGTTAAAATACTTGTATTTCATGCAGGTAGTAAGTAGACTTGTCTTACAGTTTCTACTTTTATTTTAAACATGTTGTGATTTCGATTCCCTACAATATCGGTTCAACTTTGTGATTATTTTTAACATAAACGTATGAACAATTGTAAGCAATTATATTCAAGGAAATTTCTAATAATCTTTACTGAAACGTCAAATTCTGGATAAATGCTTAAATGAGAAAATAATATTCTTTTGCTGTTAGTATGTAGACGTATTGCTGGCGAAAGTAAACCCTTTTTTGTTGCCATAAAAAGAATCACGGAACGGTACACAGGGCACAAGAAGAGTTTGGGATAAAAGTGCAACTAGAGTCGCATTTATGTGCATTCATACTTGGGTAATAATTAAATTTTACGGATTTAATTAATGGAAATCGCGTCGCCGTCAACCCCGCTGTGTTTCGTAATTCTCGCTCAGAATTAGATCTGGAATCCCACGGAGCGTGGCGCCCGGCTTCCGAAGTCAATTTGGATTTGTGCTTTCGTTTGTAAAAGTCTTCGCTGATTTAGCTTGTACGTGTTTACTACGTTTACTCATCATTCTCCGCGAAATATTGCACATTTCATTCCGCGCCAACCTTTTCGGTCGTTTGTGCTTTTTGGTATAGTCTGAAATTGAAATGCGATTTCAGCATTTGCATTTACATTCAGATATAATGGGATATTGAACCTTTATCCAAGTACAATAACGCATTTTATTGCTGTTAAATCCCTGGCAATGCCAACGAAGAATTGTAATCATGACTGAGTCTGACGGCTGGCAACCCATTCCGGCAGGGATTGAGCATGAACGAGAAGTGTCGCAAAGGCCTTCTCTGATCCAGGGAGGCCAAAATCGATGGCCAAGGTTTTTCCATTTGTATACGACAGGACATGTGGTAGCCTGCCACAGCCATGCTTGTAATTTTCTCCTCTGTCTTCTGCTGAGTTTTATGACAGGTTTCCCATTGGGTTGGTTGAAATCAATTTTACGGAATCTCGATGGTATTTTTCCAAACGGCCGAACATTATTTCTATCGATTTCGGCAAAACGGGGAGACGTTCCGACGTTCGGGTACATGTATGGATCCGGTTCAGTAGGCGACATAAAATCCGGTTTGTAAGATATCCCCAGTTTTTCTCGAAGTCTATCTGGGTCCAAATCCGACTCTTTGGGATCGTATTCGTTTGGAGGATTTTCGGGGATGTCGAGTACCGGTAGTGCATTACTTGATTCCGGTAGCAATTTGAAATAGTTTTCTCTGAGTGCAACAGATGTAGTCTGGTCGAATGCAAACATCGTCAACACGACAAAACTCATTAGTGTCTTTGCAAGCATATTTGTTTTTAGATAAGATTTTACAATAATATCTGAAAATTATAAAGAGATTGTTAAAGTATCTTATACATCAACCACATCTGACTAGGAACAAAAGTTCATCAAACGAAATTGCTTGCTTAGAACAAATATTAAAAAGCCATTAGTGAAAAATAAAGAAAATTAATACTATTAATAAACTGACCAAAGTCACGTTTCATCGATTGAAAAGTATGTTAAAAATATTTATATTGCACATAAAAGATATATAGATACATGGAATAGTACGAATATTTTCACACAAGCAGAATACTCAATAAAATTTACAACGATACTTGTAATAGATACGAAAAATACAACAAAATTGTTTAAAAAAAAATAAAACTCTCATAACTAAACTTTCTTAGTTTTATAATACATTCTAAGTAAAAATTCCTATATCATTTTTCTAAATTTTTATTCAATGTAACCATTCATTAAAAGCAAAAAATCGACATCAAAATAATATGCTGCTATTTTGATTATTTTCATTTCTTCTCAAACATAGGTATATTTTACTATACTACCCAGTTAGTTAGACCTGAATTATAAACATTCTCTCACTACCGGTAACGAAAGGCTGGACGAGTTAACAAATGGTTCATTTTGGTCTTTGTATGACTTCACCAACAAATACATGCATATGCACAACTTAGAATTATGTCATGTTTGTTAGCTGAGCCATCAAATATTCAACACACGCACTTCACACCGGGGTACACAAATCCCCGTCACTCAAATGTGTGAACCGTCAGCAACAGCGATAAATCTGCGATTATAATCTCAACCGGGGTCGAGGTTACCAATCTTACAACACCTGCTATTGGCAGCTCATGGCGGTACTGTCCCTTTTATATGCTGCCGAATCGCGGACTTTATTGATAAGTAGGCAAACAACGTTATCTGTGCAATTAATAACCTTCATATTACAATATCTTCTTACCCACGATATAATATTAAATTTATATACTGAGACTACATACAGCGCAACACTCGAGTCGGCGCCACAATCCGTAATTTCCGTTTTTATTGACGGCAAGTTTCGCCACCGATTCGCAATACGCGGAAACTTCTGCCGATTTCTTAAAATAAATCTTCCCCCTTCGCCAGCTGAGATCTTCCAAGAATGACGAGTAGTTTAGCCTTAGGTTCGCCCGTTTTATCACGACTCTTTCTTTTGCAATCAATCGACTTTACCTCGCCACGTGAAACAGCGCTTTGGCGCCAGCGAGGAATCTGTTTATGCGCCCGTGCTGCGGTTTATGAAGTGCAAATGAGCAAGACACCGTTCACTCCGTCGTTTGAAACTTGCTAAATCCTATTCGTACGCCAACTTGCACGCGTCACGAATCTGACTGTAGTCTATATACCCTGCTATTATTCACCTCAACTGAGCCTTGTAAAAGGCGGTTGATGATTAATGGCGGCTCGTTCAACATCGTAACTCCGAACATCATTATTGCTTTACAATTTAGTATCACCAAGTCTATAAAACTTCGTGCAATCACCTGTGCTGTACCTATATGTACACAACTCCTCCATATTAGCATTTATATCGGAACTCTTACTATTTAAGAATGAGCATTCAGCAAGATCATAAAAACGATTTTGTATGTATATAGAGCACAATCAATTTGGGGAATAGGAGAATATAGAGAGTACGAGGCATCGTGGTTGCCATCACAAAAACACCTCCAATAATAACGATGAAAATATATAAAAGAGATCACGACACGGCCAACTTACAATTTATGACGAAAAAGCAACAACGCTTTTTTTCTATTTCCCTGAAACTCAAAGTACGACACTTTTAGAAATATAGTCCCAATATTAAAATCTCTTCTCAGAGAATAGGTTCGTCACAATTGACGCAATGATATATATTCTAGTACAACTAATTCTAAACGCTTCCTTTCTCAAGTCGGAACTGCGAATAGACCTATATCTTGACACATGTAATGGCATTACATTCTGTGTATCACTCAACTACGTACAAAATAAGAACGAAACTTACAGTACTTGCAAGCGTGTCGTTCGAAAATCAGTTGTTCCAGTACTACCTATCATCTTTATTTGTCCTTGCCACCGATATCTCACACCTAACGCGACAAGAAAAGCAACTCCGACCTAACTTTGTTTGATAAAATGCAATCCGTCGTTGCTCATTTGTTGTCACTTGGCAAACAAGCTGAATGTAATCGATTTATAAAGACATCTACATTAAGTACGTATCTAACGGAGATGGGACAATAGGGGGCAATAATATTTAGGAAATCGTTGACAGTTACGAACAACGAGGCAGTGGCGTTGAACTCGCATAAGGAAGTAACTTGGAATGAATTGAATATGATCCAAACTATACCAAAAAAAGAACATTGAATCCACAATTGCACATTGAATTAATCCCCAATTGGAATTTTTTGTTGAAATTTCTAAATTCTATTTTTGATATTTGTGTATCGATTTTCTTATTAGCATGAAGTTTCATTATTTAGTGCAAATGTCTTAACTATGATTAGGTTGAAGAAAAATGTTATTAAATTAAATCTTCAATGAGAAATAAATATACGAATTAAAAATAAATATATGAATTTTAAATAAAGCGCTAAAACAGCAGGCGTAGCGATCTTCACTACTAGTTTCTTTGCATTGTATTGGATTACAAAAAATTATAGCACAAACTAAAATAAATTTCTTCTTTAAATAAAACTTATTACTATATATGTAAATATGCATTTCCGAATTGAATGTCCACGCATATAAAGCACCTTTTGCTTTTGCAAAATCAGTGTAACATGTCTCTTTTTGACCCCACATTTCTTTCCGTTGTTAATTGACATCTGATACATTTTACGAAACCACAATTAACCACGTTTGCGTCATAAAAGAAATCCGTTTCTCAGAACCGTGCTAGATCAAAAATTAATCTAAAAAACTTTTAATCATCTGCAAGTTTGTATTTTATGTTTATTAAGCGAAAAAAATTTTCGCACGCCTATTTGTCAATCACAACGTAACATCGTGTTAATAGGATTTCCAGGTGTATGTCGCGGTAAACTTTGTTACGTCGACCCGCACGTTCATTTAGATATTCCCGTTCTAAAATATCAGCAATAAATGTATATTGTAACTATTTCATAAAAAAAAATCAACTTTATAAAACGGGGAAAATGTTTCTAAAATAAAAAAGCAACACATTGTACGATTGGTAGAAATACTACAATGTGCTAACGTGGTTTGTACGTGTTGGTATGCAATGGAATTTGCGAATCGTAAATAATATTATCGTATAGAAAGTACAATAAAATTGTAATATTTATTTATTATCGAACTATTATGGCTAATATGTTTTAAAGTAAGCACAATATTTCCATGAAACCAAGAAATTTTGCATAACGCTAATTCTATATCATAACATCATTTTACTCCTCATTGGCCATGACTTATGCAGTACTAATAACCGAAGCTCACACTGGTTGAGAAACGTCTTAATTTTACCATTACCCAATCTCAATGTAAATGTAAGCATTTGTACCCGTCAGTCAGAAATTGCCGACTGATTTTGGCGCTTAAAAACTTACTATAAAAATTAAAAATTGCTGCGAGGAAAAGAATAAAAATACATTTCATCGCAGCAAGTCAGAAAAAAGAAATCTACTTAAGGATCGCATTTCATTGGGGATCAAGTTGAAGTACTTACGCTATTGCAGATAACAATGTTTGGATGATGTAATTGTAACTTATTCTTGCATTTTATAAACGATTTTAAAAACCAAAAAGTAAATATTGTAACTAAAATTAGATGGTGCTTTTAAACGTTTGGTTTTACTTTTCAGCAATTATAGGAAAATTGAAGAAACATAAACAAATTTTGTAATTTGTTGCTAAAGAGTAAACGTCAGTCTTGAAAGAATCGTATTCAGTCACGTAATTTATTAGGAGTATAGAAGTAAGAAGAAGAATTGAAAGAAAAAATTTAAAATTTTGCATAGATTCAGATTTTTGTAGGAATATTATCAATACACAGTCTAAAAAATGTTTAAAATATGTCTTTTTGTGGAATAGAATAATACATTTCTCCACACTCCATACAACTCATACTGCGCCTGCATTCTTGCAACATACTATTGTGCCTGGATTACGAAAAATGATGTGATAAAATGTACTGCGGAATTTTACACACTGGATAATTTTCAAAATACGACACAACGGGATTCCCCTTTGCTACTAAATTATTGACAGTAACCACTTGAATTTAGTTACACAAGGTCAAGAGCTGGATGCTCGGCTTATTCAGTTTTAACACAAAAAAATTATTCTTTATTACTTGTGAAAATCGCTAATTTATCCTTATTCGATGGCGCTACAGAGCTCTGACAACATGTTAATATAAAGTCTTAAGTAATTTCGAATCTTCATAATTTCATTTTTAGAATTCACATTGCACTAGAGCTTGTATGTCATATTTATTAAAGTAGAGTTATGAATGATTGTGACAATATAGTAAATTCTCAGGACCTTTCTTGTTGTCAAAATAATCTAATATACTACTAACTTGTTGAAACTTTGCTTTCCGATTTGGCTCTGTTTCAGATCACCCACTGAAAAACATGGCTTTAACAGTTTTTCTCTGACATTTTTCCCTTCCTCTAAATCACAGAAGATGGCATTATAATATACATATAAACTGTCTGCTGTAGATTCCTTGCATTTTGGGAAAAAATGCGAAAATATTTACTTTAATTTATAAGCATTATCATTGTAGATAATATTGTATTATTTCCAATAATTTCACAGCATGAGCAAAAGTATAGAAGTACTATTGTTTTAAGTATCATATGCACCTGTTAATGGCCTGACATAAATCTGCTAATTGTTTTAATGTCGTTATATACCTGAGACATTTTTTCTAACCCTTCTTCCCTTTTCTATAATAGTTTTATATAAAGGCTTACTTGATATAAACTAGAATAGACAGAAGCTTGGTCAACAACATTTCTACACTAAAAATAGA